GCCTTGAGATTTTAAAAAGTGCCATATTCAAGGCTCTTTCAGGGTTAGGAGAATGAGACCCAACATTGTTACTGGTATTTGGCATATTGGGTACACCACGGGGAGTTTGCCAGACTCTGCTGTGTGGGCAGGTTACATTTGGTAGTCTGCCAGGGTGTCCAAAGTAAGAATGAGATAATAAGATGTGGCGAGGCCGCAAATGTGGCTGCACACTTCCAGTAGCTGGGTTTTATAGTCTCTGGGTCTTGGCCGTTGATGGGATTACACGGCTGGGGGAGGAGGCATTTGGTGGAGTGACCCCTGCCTACTGGAAGATGGAGGATCTGGATGGAGGATTCTCAGCCCCGATCCAAGCAGGCTTGGAGATCTCAGTCCACGGACCCACATGCCTTTGTTCCTCTGCTGGTACCTTCATGCGTGTGGAGAGTGGTCTCAGCATGATTGTGGCTAGTTCTGTTGGTCTTCGGCTGCCGGGGCTCTTCTCGGGGTGGGGAGGAAATCTCAACCCGCCCCCCTCCAAGGGGCCCCAGCGAGGACAGCCAGGTGCAGGGTCAGAAGACTCTTATACGAAGATGTATAAGTTATTGAAGGCATGTAGATTTTTAAGTAGTGTTGGAGCAATTTAATATCAGCTAGCAAAAGAGTGAGCCCAACCTAAATTACACACTTAAGCAAAATTTATCTAAGAAATGGATTATACATGTAATATTTAGAAATTAAATATGGGAGAAAAAATTTGACCTCAGGATAAGCAAAAAGTCCTTAAATTTAACAATAAAGGATTTGGAGCAATAGTACAGCAGGTACTATTGCACATGGCCTAACTGGGTGCAATCCCAGCACTACATATGGTTCCCTGAGCCTCAGCATCTGTGATTCCTGAGTGATCCCGGAGTGATCCCTGAGCACTGCCTGGTCTGAACCCCCAAAATATCAAAAGAATTTGAGTGTCTTGGACCTCATGAAGATCTCAAACTTGAAAGCCGTTGTATTGAACTTCTGGCGCACTTAGCACCTAGCACCCTGGATATCACATGGAAAGCTCCCCTAGCCCCAACCCCTTAACTAAAAAGTTTTTAAACTTGAGATCTGTCAAAATACACTAGAAAAATATCAAAAGAAAAACAATGGACTGAGTGACTATTTTCAATCCACATATCTAAGCAAAAACATAGCATATAAAAATAAAACTTAAGGGGTTGGAGCACAGCAGATAGGGCATTTGCCTTACACACGGCTGACTTGGATTCGATTCCTAGCATCCCATATGGTCCCCTGAGCACCGTCAGGAGTAATTCCTGAGTGTATGAGCCAGGAATAACCCCCAGTGAAACGCCAGGTGTGACCCAAAAAGCAAAAATAAATAAATAAATAAATAAATAAATAACACTTAAAACTTCAGGTAAAAAAATCCAGTTGGGAAGTGGGTGGGAGGGAATCTGGGGTAAATAGAAGAGAGGTGGAGACAGGGTTTGCTGGATTGGAAGTGCGAACATTATATACCTGAAAACCCATTGTAAACTATGTAAATTACAGTGTATAGATATTTTTCTTGTTTTTGGATTACACCTGGCTGTGCTCAGGGCTTACTCCTGGATCTGTGCTCAGAGAACACCCCAGTGGAACTGGGGAGACTATATGGAGTTCTGGGGATTAAACCCAGGTCAGCCGTGTGAGAGGCAATCTTCTTTCCCTCTAACACTATCTCTTTGGCCTTTATATTAAAAGTAATAAATTAAAAGTTAAAATCCAGCCCATGTCCCACAGCAGCCATCATGTAAGTTCATCTACCGGCCTTGTTCCAGAGACTGGTAAATAAATCTGGAAAGAGATAAACTAGTCACAAAAATTTCTAGGATATTCAATTCCTCATGAGTCCTCTGAAGTGTTCTTGGGATGGGAGTGGTGGAACAACTCTGGCCCTACCAAAGCTCCGACTGCTGCTCCCATTTACCAAAACTTCCATGCCTCTGACTGGTCTCCACCACCTCAGGACTAAGCTCCACCAAAATCCTAATTTGCTCAAATTTGGGGTATTTGGGCTTAAAACTCCAAGTCTTCTCGCAGTCAGAGTAGGGGACCTGCCCACACCTGCTTATGCTTCCAGAATCTTCGGCAGCAGCACCACATCTCTTGTTGTCACCATGTAAGTTTTTCTACCGGCCTTGTTCCAGAGACTTGTAAATAAATCTTAGACAGCCCAGTTAAATATTCTGGATTTTCTGGAGCATGCACAGCTACATGACATCTCTGAACTCTACAACAATGACATCCCAGTAGGAGCACATCAGATTGGATGGGATGTAACATAGATGCCAATCAATCTTGACTAACTAAAACATTAACACAGAAGGCTTAACATTCAGCAAAAGTTTAGCAGACCTTTAGAAAAGAACTTAACGTCCCCATGGTGAGATACAACAATTTTCACAAATTTTCTTCTATAAAAAAATTTTGTTCTCATTTCATTAACCATTTACTGGTAACAAGAAATACAAAATAAATTAATGTGGGCATGTTGTGGGGCAGGTTTGAGGTATGGCTGGGAAAATGGAGACAATGGTGGAGGTAAGGTGAAAGTGGTGGTGGAATTGGTGTTAGAATATTGAATGCCTATAATAAATCAAGATGAACAATTTTGTAAACTACAGTGTTTAAATAAAGTGGGAGAAAAAAGAAAAACCTATCTGAAAAATGAAGAAAAAGCATTAAATATTTTGCTGAGAAGTCCACTATGCATATGGAAAGATGTTTAGCAAAATTAACCTTGAGGGAAATTCATTTTAAACAGCAAAGTTTTATCACTACACACCAAAAATAGCTAAAATAAAGTGTAATGAAAACACTAAGTGTTGGTATATATGTGTACAGATTGGATCACTTACACTTTTCTGGTAAGTACATACATATTATAGTTACAATGGTATGCAATACATCAGTCCACAGAAAACTAAACATGTAATTCTCATACCACTCAGAAATTGTATTCGAGCTATTATCTCAGAGAAATTAAACCTTGTGTTCATACAAAAATCTGTGCACAAACTTTTGTAGAAGCCTTCTTTTTTTATTTTATTGAATCACCGTGAGATAGTTACAGGCTTTCATGTTTGGGTTACAATCACACAATGATCAAACACCCATCCCTCCACCAGTGCACATTCCCACCACCAATATCCCCAGTATACCCCCCTTTCCCACCCTCTCCCTGCCTCCATGGCAGACATGATTCCCCATAATCTCTCTCTACTTTGGGGCATTATGGTTTTCAATACAGATCTTGAGAGGTTATCATGTTTATTCCTTTATCTACTTTCTGCATACATTTCCCATCCCGACCGGTTCCTCAAGCCATCTTTTTCTTAGTGATCTCTTCTCTATTCCAGTTGCCTTCTCCCCTTATGTGAGTGGAAGAGCTTTTGAGTTTTAAGTGATTTTTGGTACGAGTGCCTTTCAGGAAACGAATAGGAAATGGGGAAGTGTCAAGAAAAAATGTGTTCTCTTGGGTAGTCTGGTAAGAGGTATGATATCCTAGATTTACTCCCAGCACCAAAACCAAAAAACAATCTCAGTGAAACAGTAAGTCCTGTCCTGATTCTCAGGGGATTCTGGATCAAAGTCATAATTCAAAAGATTTTTTTCCTTAAAATTGTAAATTTGCTAAGGTATCCACTGTGGTTAATTACACAGTGGTGGGAAATTGTGAGACTTGTAGGTGATATGCACAGAACTCAGAGAATGGTAGCACCAAACACTTAGCCAGCCATGATTCCCGTTTGAAAGGAGAAATTATTCTTTGATTCCTCTTTCTTGTCTCCTTTCACAAAAACAATTTTTACTTCTTCACAAACTTCCCTTTGAAAGGACAAATCACAGTTCACCTTCTTAACTTTGAGCAGGAATACATATTGACAATACAATGCAGTGTATTGTCCCCTAGCATCAATGCTATGTGGCTATGACTATTTGACTATAATTTAATGGATAGTTTAAGATGAACTCTTATAATAAAAAAAGTAATGTTTAGGTTGTCAGTTTACAGAAATTTTATTTGCAATAGACCTAAACTGAAATCATCACACATGTGCTTAAATAGATGAATAGTTAAGTAATCTGTAGTACAAGCACACTATAGAATACTATTTAACAATATAAAAGAGTAAATTAATAACATATGCAACAACTTGGATGATTCTCCACGGTGTTATGCTGAATGGCCAATATAAAAATGTTACATACACTTTATAGTTCTATTTGTATAACATTATTGAAATTATAAAACTGTAGAGTTGGAAAGTATAAGTTACTAGTGCTCAGAGATGGTGGAGATACTTATGTAGCTATAATGGAGTAGTACTAGAGAGACTTTAATGAGAAAGCAGTTTTTATATTTGGATTATGGTTGGGGTCAAACAAATATGTGATTAAAACTATATAGAGGTAGACACAGTACGCATGAACACCCATGTGTACATAAAAACTGTAATATTTCCATGGGTAAATTGAACAAAAGACACATTAAAACAGGAGCAGAAGTACCCTATTATAACTGTAAGCTTGGATTTGTACTCTGAGTTTAACCTCACTGTAGTTAAACTTCCCTTGGATTTATAATACTTAAAAATAAAACTAAGGGCCAGAAATATAGTACAATACAATACAGTTTAGTAGAGTATTATAAGTATAGTAAAGCATAGATAGAATAGTATAGTATAACAAAGAATAGTATAGTATAGTATAGTATAGTATAGTATAGTATAGTATAGTATAGTATCCTTGCAAACAGCCAACCCATGTTCTATTCCTGGTATCCAAAATTTTCCCCCAATGACCACTGAATGTAGATCCAGGAATTAATCCCTGATTATTATGGGTGTAACCCCAAATTTAAAAATCTAAAAAAATTAATTGAAAACAAAAACACTCATATTATCTTGTCCACTTCAGAGTCCAGTATATTAAGAAACAGAGAGTTAACTTTGCTTTTTATCTTCTTACAGGACCTGTACCTGCCCCTGTCCTTGGATGACTCAGACTCACTTGGTGATTCCATGTGAAGGAGGAGTATTCAGAGTCCAGAGTACAAATCCAAGCTTACAGTTATAATAGGGTACTTCTGCTCAACTGTACAACAGGGCTATTGGTGCTTTCAAGTTTTTTAAGTTTTGTTATTGTTGTTCTTAAAAACACACTGCAATATGTTGGATTTATTTTCCTGTGCTTTCTCCTCTGGGCCACTGATCCACAGTTACCAATTATAAGAGATAGATTGATAATCATCATTTGGAGTAATTTTCTAGGGATGCAAAATATGCTCCTTCTTCTAATTTCTCTTGAATACTTAGGCACCTGCACTATTTTCCCTGTCTCACTTTGCTCCTGCCCAAGAATCTTCCTTCAGTAGAATGTTGTTTATACACAACCCTTAAAATGTGTGCTTGGCGTAAGGAGGGGAGCTTCATTCACAAATTCTACAGTGACAAATAAAAGTGCCCCTTGTCTCCTGATCCCAAGAATGCTGAAGGATCCTGGATGAACAGCAAGTAAGCTCCCCAGTCTTGCTATTCATTCCTGACCGAAACCCTAGTTTGTTGTCTAGCACTGATTCTGGTGTCAAGGGGGAGAAACACCAGCAACTTGTAAATCTGACACCAGATGCTTAGAAATCCAGTTCAGGGCTAACTAAAAAAGATCAGGCAGAATTGGGAAACACTGTAGACATTTCAGTAGAGATTATAAAGCACAGTGAATTCTTTGTCAACCTCTCCACTAGGGCAACTCGGAATAAATAAGCAATTAATAAAATTTAGGAGTGAGGAGTTTAGATTCCTAAGTGAGCCTGTCTAACATAGCAAGTTATTACACAAACTGTATGGTATCCATCTATCTCTGTTCTATTGAATGCCTTGTAAACAGCCAACACTGAAAATACTGTGAGAATTGTTTTCAGGTCTGACACCTTTCAGTCGCTTTTTATAGCAAGAGACCAATATCCTTTTTATAAAAACTTGTCGGTATTTCCGGAGCAAACTCTTCAGGCTCCTTTTTTATAAACTGGTGATTTTTCTTTTGTCTAAAAAACACATGCAGAAAATTTACCAAAAAAAAAGCAGAAGAATGCGTAGTTTAGAAATCATGCTGTCACTGCCAAACAGAAACCTCCAGGAGAAAACAAAATAAGTAGCAAAGGCCAATTCAATAGAATCAGACTTTTGATAACTTTTTAACAGTTATACTTTAATAATTTCAATGTGGACCAGACATTCTAATTATATTTTGAATGAAATGTTATGACATATTTTAAGCAACTCTTTTTTATCTATATTCCTGATATTTCATACTGATACAGAAACCTTTCACTTGTCTTTAACAGTAGAAAGGATTTCCTTTTGCTAAGGACTTATCATTTAAAATAGTTTTTAGTCTTTGAGGTACAGGTTTATCAAACTGATTTTTATCTGTAATCATAGCCCATAATGGCAAAAACAACTAAATTTAAGTGAAAGCCATGCATGCCAATTTTATGTTTCCTTTTAGCAGATGTGAAGCTTTCCTTATTTCTTTGTAATTGTTCAGATATTTTGAAGGATGCAGCATTTGAAGCCAAGCAGTTCTTTGGCTATTGAATGACTTGCAGTTGTTCTCCCTCTTTAACTGGAATGAGCTTGCTCTATGTGTGTATGTGTGTGTGTGTGTGTGCTCACATGTATGTGTGCATGTGTGCGTGCATGCATCCACAGCTGCTTCATAACTAAGAGATGTTACAGAATACCCTGAAATGGATCAGTGGCAACTTGGTGATTGCTAATAAGTACTGTGTAGGAGGGAACTTGGTGGTGGAAGGGGTAACTCAGATGCCCCTGGGAAAGATGCCCTTAGCTACAGGACACATTTTTGGTTCAAGAAGTATCCAGGTGTTGGTAGTACTGGTTACTGTTGAATTATCTATTTTCCTGGTCTGCTTTATTTGTAAGTCTAGTAGAAACCATTGAGAGGTCCGTTTTACTTACCCCATACTTTTTTCCTTGAAGCTGAATAAATTTAGTGCCCAGAACAGCTTGTGTTACTTAGGGCCATAATGGTGAGGACTTGAGAGTGGTTGAAATCTTTTTCTAAGCCTCAGGCTATACCCACCTCAAGATGTACCCAAGTAATTTTACAGAATTCACACTACCTTTCTTTTAAAATGAGAAAATGGAGGTCCAGGCAGCTAAATAACCTGCTGATAAAGAGCAAGGCTAGAGGAAGAATCCTGATTTACTTATGTCCAGATACTATACTACCTCTTTGAGCATTTCCTTGCTTGTCACATATCTACCATTAGAAAATGCTAAAGAAATATGTTATCTTTAGAAATAACTTTGAGTCAAAACTCTTCTATAATAATGTTAGATTGTCCATCTTTCTTTTAATCAATTATAAGGAAATGCTTCTATTCTGCCACTTCAGGGGCCTTGATGTAGTTCAAATTTCAAGCCTTCAATGGTTGCATCTTAAACTGACTCATTTTTGAGGCAAAAAATGGTAACAGCACTTTCATCTGTGTCATTCATTCCGAATTTTACCCAGTACTGTTTTACCAGTAGAGACCCATTATGTTACCTTTCTCACAGCCAGAAAATATGAAGTCGTTCAGCAAACATATGTTACCACTGCCCCCACTTCTTCCTCTCTCTCTCTCACAAACACACTCTCAAGAACATGCACATGCACACATGCATACACACAAACACAAACACATACAATCTGACTGATGCTTGTTCCTACCTCCTGATTTTTCTCCCTTACAGAAATATAAATAGGGAAAAAGAAGGGGGAAATGTATATATGGGGCTGGGCTGAACAATTTCATAAGTAGTATTAACTGATGTAAATTGAGAGAAAAGCTCCTTTTCTCATCACTGTTTTGGAAAGGATAGCCATTAGCATGACTGCTTCATGTCCTTAAATACATTAATATTAGCCTAGGTTGAACCACAGAGTTTTCTAGCTGGAAGGAACCTTAAGAACACATAATTTACTCCAAATTCATCATTTTAAGGTCAGAAATGGAGATCCAGAGGTCATTTCCCCAATGTCGCACAGGTGGCCAGGGCAAGACTGGGATTAGAACCCACATCTCCTGGCTCTTATTCCAGGGTCTTTTCCCACTAAGCAGTTTTGTCTTCCATTAAGGCTCCTAAGAATTCTTTCCCAGGGTCATGTTGCATCTTGGAGCCATATGGTGTTGCCCTGATCTGAGCAAGAAATCCCCTGGCAACCTAATACAGTGATTCCTCCTTGTATTCACATGGTTTCCATTCACATGGACTGCAGATGTACCCAAAGAAAAGGGGGCATTCAAGACTACCAAAACAATGGATTCTAATTTAGGGGATCATCACTCCAACTTGAGATGTCTCAGAACAGCATCCCTGAGGTTCTGCCATGCCCACATGAAATGGAGGCAGACTCTTTTCTTTAGGCAGCTCATAGCATCTCATATTGGTTGGTTTTTGAAAGCTGAATGAAATGTTTCTTGTTATTGGAGCAAAAATAAGAAGGAAGGAAGAGCGTAACAATAGCTTTGTTCATTCTGATTTTATGAGATGCTATCTCAGTATTTTTAAATGACTGTGGCTGCCATTCACTGTTAAAACTTTCTTTTAAAATGTGGCAGTGAGTGGCTGGAGAAGTAGTATAGTGGGTAAGGCACTTGTCTTACATGCAGCTGATCAGAGTTCTATTTCCAGCACCCCATATGGTCCTCTGAGCCTTGCAAGGCATAATTCCTGAGTGCAGAGCCAGGAGTAAGCTCTGAGCATAATCAGGTGTGGCGTCCAGACAAACAATTAATAAACAAAGGTAAATTACTGGCATATGACTAGCTAGGAAAAATGTCCTACTCTTGCTGTAGTTACCCTCATTCCCAATGTCCTTATATCTCTTCTGCCAAGGTGAGGACAATTTCCAGGTATAGTAGAGGGTTTTTTAACTAAAATATACCCTGAAAGCTGATGTCACCAAGATAGCACGTTATGTGCTCTACACACCATATCCATTTTCTGCTTATTACTCCTGTTCCCTTCTGTGCTAGAAACCAGAGGGGGCCTACACACATAGTTCTCTCAAAACAAATCTCTTTCTGGAACCATAGGTTAGTCATTAGTCATTTTTATCAACTCTCCCAAAGAAACTCACTCTTTCCTGTTTCTTTTCCCAAATTAGATGGTTCCCCAGGAATATTTAAAGTGGATGTGTAGTTACCTTAAAAAGGCAAGGAGAAATTATGTAAAGCAACCCTATAGTCTTTGAATTTTTGGTTGAAAGACCCAAAATATCCCTCATATTGGGTTCTAGATAACTTTTTTAAAAAAGACACAAATCTCTCTGGCACAAGGGAATGAACATGTCCATGTTAATAAAGTGAGCTCCAGAATATCGATAAGAATGTTCTCCAAGTATCAGTCCTTCTCAGAGACATATGTGCCAAGAGATTTCCCAGACAGATGCACTGGGGCAGTGGATTTGAATTACCTCTTTCCCTTTCCAGTTTGTAATGAGAATAAAAGGCACTGGAAATTTCTTTGTTCTTTTTTTAAAAAAGGCTATTGGAACCTGTCCTAAACCACATGGGCTCAGTTGGGTCCTCAAGGCCAGGCTTCATTAATAATTACCCTCATTTCATGAAAGGATTTTGACAGTTTTTGCCCAGATTGGTTTCTTATGCAAGCCATTAGACTTTAGAATCTCATCTGGGAGGCACAAGGGTTAATATTCAGTTTAGGGTTCTGGGATCTATATAGACCAAAGTACCAGCCACTGATATCCCAGAAATGATGTGGAACCTTTTGTGTAGCAATGGAGTCTTGCAATTGTTTGCCTTCTTAAGTATTTCTCTTAATTTGGATCTTTAAAGGAGTCATAATTCTGCCTTTTCCCTCAGACTAGGATAGCACCTGTAGCCTTACCCACTATTCTGTGATTCTCTATGGTTTTTTTCTCCCTTCCAGGTATGAACAACTGGAAGAAATAAGGACATTTAATTATGGATTTATTTTGCTTACTCTTTGGCTGGTGGTGCAGCATTTCCAAAAGATTGAGTGTTGGTGGCCAGACCCCAGTCTAGTTCTATTAACAGTCAGTGGATTATGCCTAGTAAGCCTTAAAGGCTGTGATTTTGGACCAAGGCAACAAAGTCCATTTCTTAAAAATTGAATTGCCAGTTTTATTTTTCCTTTGGCTAATAGACCCTGTTACTCTAGTGGGTAAAAGACTATAGGTTCTTGTCACACAATCGCCAAGATATATGTGTGAAAGGAAAATACATTTCTAAACCCACAGAGCATTCATTCCAGTGAATGAACTATCATGGGCTGGGATTATTAACAGCTTCTCTTAGTTTCTCCCACATTTTCTTTTTCAGAGACTAGAAGCCTCCCACTAAATTAGACTGTTTTTCACCATGCCTGGATAAAGAATTTTCCCCTCCTATCTCTTCAAGATTAGGTGGCTTCCTCCTCTTTCTCCCCCTTACTCACTCCCAGAACTTGCCTTTATCCCTAAAGATCTGGTCTTTACTTACCCAGACTCTTGATGTTACTTCCTACTTATTTGTTAAAGGTTTATGCAGACCTCCCACTTTGGTTTTGTGTGATATTAGTTGTCATATGACAGGATTCTTGCACCCCCTTCTCAACTGTTCTACACTTTATCCTTTGGTTCACATTATCTGGAATCAGAGGGAATTTTATCTTACTTTGGATGCCTTGTGACTAGGGGAGTGTAGAATTCTCATTGGGAATTAAGGCATGTTTCTGCTTCTGATTAGAAAGACAGGCTAGCTGGGAGAGGTCATATGGCAAAACAGACATCAGAACAAACACCTTGTAAACTAAAGACCAAAATGCTAGAAGCCTTGAAACATCTCATTTCTGAATCATTAATCTGAAGAAATTAATGACTCTTCCCCCACTCTCCACCTGCCCTGTGTATCTCTTTGTTTTTTGTTCTCTAGCATTTTTCAACTAGGGACCATATGGACCCTTGTGGGCCCCCAGAATATACTAAGAGGGCACAGGCAAAAATCACATAAATAGCGTCCATGGCACAAGGCTAGGGAACCAACAATTAGAATAGGGGTCACAGGAAGGAAACTAGGTCAGAAGGGGGCTATGGTCAGAAAAAGATTGGGAAACACTATTCTTTCTATTTGCTTTCCTTTTATCCTGTTACCACTTTTGCTTTTGATAGTACAAACATACATCCTTTGTCCTGTACTATCTCTGTCATCTGCTTTTTAATTTTTTCCTTTCTAGGCATATGTCTTTTCTTAGCCCTGTGATTTTTGCCTTGGAGATGATAAATTGTTTCCAGAGTATATCAATCCCAGTCCAGTTAGGAATATGTTGGTGGGAATCAACCTTATCCTGGGCCTTTCTTCCCCATTTTCAGTTGCGATTCCCCAAAGAAGCAGATCCTCAGAAACAGCTTCATTTATAGCTTGTGCATCTTGGGTCTTCACTTTCCAAGCACCATATAGAGTACTCTGTGGTTCCTTTTTAGTTGGCCATTTTGTGGAGCAGTGAAATGTGCTCAGAGAAATAATCAGCTGAAAAAAACCATGGATTCATATATCAGCTACATAATATTAATTTATTTTTTTAATTTGCTCATACTTTTAAAAGCTGCAATATAATATAATATGAGACCACAAATAATTTTTCCTATCGTTTTTTGTCTGAATGGGGATGTTGGATGATGGGAAGCAATTTGTCTATAAAGTTTTATATGCTCTCTATATAACCTTAGGCTTTAGGCTTACCAACTGTTGAATTGATTTATTTAAACTGATAGGCAATCGGGGTTGATTTCCATTAAAATGGTATTTAATCAATCCATACTATAAAAACAGTTTGCTAAATTCACCTAATTACTTATTATTAACTCTTTCCATTATCCTATGCAGACAAGCATATAAAAGTAATTGGTGAACCTAAAGAATCAAGCTGAGCTTGTAGGGGCTAAATTATTCAACAGGTTGCACAGCCCTTGGGGATATCTGTTTACAATACCATATGGAATGCCCTTTACAATGACTTTTCTTACAATATACTTAAAGGAATTTGAGCAAGTAAGAGGTTATGTCAAAATGTTTCCAATGTATGGTCCTGTAATATATTGCAGCTTGAAGCCAATGATCCATTATGACTTGTACACAACAAATGCATGTTTTGATAGAATTTTGTATTTCTCATGTGTGGTAATTACTTTAAAACATTTTATCACCATTTTTTGTGCCATTTAACTTGTACAGAAAACACTTTTATGGCCATTTTCAAAGGGAGAAAGTTTAAAATGAAAACAGCCCACCCTTTCTGCCCTATAGCTGTAGTTAGGACTCAGTAACTGTAGCAAAACAGCTGTAATTGGTGGTTGTAGTGTTAGAGGCGTTAGCTTGCTAGTGACTAGCTTTGGAGAGTAAATGCATGGTATTGTACATCACATTTTTAAAATAACTCATTTTAGCCTCTGAAAAGAGTATATTCTTCCTTGTGGTCCCACTTTTCTCCCTTCCCTTCTCCTCAACTGCTCCATGGTGTCTTGCAATTGTAAATAACTGATTTGGGGGCTAATATTTTTTGCCAAGTAAAGCCATCAAGGAATAAACAAAGAAAAAGGAGAAAAGACGAATTCTCAAGAGTCTCTCAGAAATTATTGACTATTCCTCAAGGAATGACAGTGTGGTCAAAGAATCAACTCCTCTTTGCATAAAAAATAGTGGCAAAATTGGAAGTGTTTTCGATCATTTGATTACAGTGCAATTAAATCATTCTCAGAATCATATATAATGAAAGAGTGGGCAATTATGTTTTTATCCCAGTTTTGAGATGTTTGGAAGCCTCAGTAGGCTTTGCTTGACCAATGAGCTACAATTATAAAAAAAAAGAGAAAAAGAGAGAGATATAAAAGATATTTAGGAGTTTTTAACTGTTTCTTCAAAGCAGCTATAGTCAGGAAAGACAAAGCCATGGGTTTGACTATTCTTATATCAGTTTTCCAGGCAGCTTAGCTAGCATTTAAACTGTGATTGAAAAACAGTACTCTAAGAAGCATTCTCCTTTTTGGTTTGCTGTTCCCACTTGGACATGGTGAGGCCCATGTAAACCAGCTGGAGCAGACCCTTTTCATAGCCTATGCCCGTTAATATTCCTCTTCCTCCCTCCACAATTTGATGAGGACTTTCTTTGGTAAGACGACTTCAATGTTTAAAGAAGCCCTCCCAGCCCTGCCCATGTGTAATGTGTTGTGAACGGTGAATGCTGTGGATTCACAGCATTCAATACTGGGCAGCCAGAGAGCTGCTCTTGCAATCATTTTGGCTCTTAAGCTCTGTTCTTCATCTCATTCTCATTTCTGTGTACATTTGCAAGATGTGTGTAATGTCATTTTCCAAAAATAAAATTTGATTTCAATATTTCTGGCTGACATTCTCTTTTTTTAAAGCAATGAACTGATGATCAAAAAACTACAAGATCTCCAAACTGGTAAAAAATACACATCTTTGGGACTCAACTCCTTAATTTTATAGATGAGGAAATGAGGATCAATTTATTATGGAAATACATAAATAACCACAGTGCACATTTTCTTTT